GCTTAAATGTTAAATGGAAACGGATTGAAATTATTTAAATGTCGGTTTTTAAATTATTCGGATCGAACCGGTCGAACCGGCCGGTTCGATGGTTATGTGCGTTTTGGTTGACCGAATCCAAGTGGATTCGGGTCGGTCAGACCGGTTCTCGGTCCGACTGACCCGGCCCACTGATTTGGGTCAGCTGGACCGGACAGAACCGGCCCGATTCGGTCCGAACCGGTCAGACCGGTTGGGCCGAACCGGTCCACTGAAAAATAAAAAAAAAAAAAAAAAAAAAAAAAAAAATTTTATTTCAGATTTCTAAAATTAAACTTAAAACAAATTGATTTTAATTTTTGGAAAATTATTTTCAATTAATCCCAATTAGATAATTGGATCGACAATCATCTATTTTAGTAAATAGGTGTTAGATTCCAAAAGTGGAAACCCTAGTTCAGTGGACTTTCTAAATTTGGAAACTTCCCGATTTAGAAAGTTCACTAACATGTTCGCTTATTCTTTTCCTTTTCTTATTCTCATTCATAATTCCGAATTACGAATGTTGGACCCAATCATATTGACTTCCAATCATGCAAAGATAAACCATTTTATCTCTGACCGTTTATTCAAAGATCTCATGTGCACGAGCAGTGTGACCCTCGATGGTTCAGGTGTAAGCTAGCCGTGGGCCCACAACCCTTTGTGGTCAAAACTCGTCCCCTTCGAGTTACGATTAAGATGAAGCTCGTTTCACCTTAATCACCCAACGAATCAAGATTGGCGTCTAGCAACTACGCGTCATGATTCCCTAGATACAAATGAAGTGCCTGCAAGAACCTTCAGATATAGTTAACGTACAGTACGGTCCCTTCGATTCACATGTCCCGATCGAACTAGAGGCATTGGTTCATCGAGACCTCTTTATATGTTCAATAACGGTGCGATCGTTCTAAGTGTTGTAATCGTCACGTGCATGACTTAGAGAATCGAATTCTCTAATCATCACTTAGTCAGCTCTGGCCAGAGACTTAGAATGATTACAAACTTTCAGAACACACAGGACATCCAAGACTATTCTAGCGATCGAATCCCCGACTACAATGCACAGACCTCCCACTAGATTTCGGACTGCACGAACACTGGCCCTTGGGATGGTCCTCGGTGGAACTCAGGGACAGGTCACGATACAGCTGGTCCTCTAGTGAAGTCACGGTGATGTCTAGGTCATAAGGACTAATGGTGTACAACTATACCATAGATATCTCTACTCGATTATTGGGAACCACTTAGAGATTTCTAGGGTGAGGGAGTTCAGTGAACTCGTCAACTTACGAGCACCCACTTATGCATGCCGATATCACAATACCGTTTACTGATGAGATGCAGTACACATACACTAAGTGCTAGTCTTAATGGGAAAGGCCGATATCCTCATTGGTGGCGTAACCCTTCGACTAGGAACACGTTTAACAGTTATAATACTTAAGTAAATATCTCACGATCCTAACGATCAATTACTAGTACTTGTAATAACTGTAAGGACTATATCTATGCTTGTGACAAAGGGACAAAGATATAGAATGCCAAGGTGTTTTATCATTAATACGAATGAAGGTTCGTTTATTACAATAATAAATACGAAAGACCACAGCCACATGTTGGCTTGTTGGTCACCTACTCTAACACTATTAATACCATTACTGCGCATGACACATACTATAGAACCAGTACGAAAAATACAATAAGCCTCTTTCCCATATCCTATATGAAACCCTTGTTAGAACTCAAAATGCTTTGGGGACATGCTAATGTCACCGAAGGATAATACCCATGAGAAAACTATTACAAAATCATGAAATTCGACAACAAATAAATGATCTTTGCAAACCCAAACAACAGAACAACAGAACAACAGATATTGGAACCGATTTAATGATTAGGGGAAACACCGAATAAAGTCGAGGCATAATACCCATGAGTGGATATGTTCAAAATCATGCAATTCTATAACAAATAAACCTTTTGCAAGCTCAAGCAACACCCAAATGGGTCTGTTTCCAAGAAAATGAAAAAAAAATAAAAAATCAAACCTTGTTGTTTACCCTGCTTCACCATTGTCTATAAATGGGTTTGTTTATTTTTATTTTTCCTTTCGCTTTATTATTTTTCTGCGTTTTGTTGATTCTTCGTGCTTCGTAATTTCTTCGTTCTTTGTTGTTTCTTTGTTCTTCGTTTCTTCTCTGTTTCTTCTTGGTCTGAAAATGGGTATAAACTGAACGATGATTTTTTTCTGCGCCTTTTTAGCTTCTTTTTTGTTGTTTGATTTTTGAAATGTAACGGGCAAAGAGCGTGTAACACAAACGGCGCGTTGGAAGTTGAAAAGAAGTTATGTAAAATTAGTATAAAGTAAAGGGTATTTTAGTATTTGCACATTTTATTAGGAACTGATCAGCATGTTAGGCGCATGAGTAGGGACTGAATTGCTTGGGGAAACTACCTAGGGACTGATCTGTGTTTTGAGTTTTGGATTAGGGATTTATCTGTAGTTACCCCAAGAACTAGAGATTAACATTTAATATACAGACTATTTCAAAAAAAAAAAAAACATTTAATATACAGACAGTTAGTGGCCCCCACACACTAGATCGATCTACTTCTGAAATTCCATATCCAACAGCCCTCATTTCACCTGCCCCACAAATCTAAATCTCCACCGTCCATTCAGATCCAAACTCCCCCTCTCTCATCTCTCCCAATTCACCCAAAAACACAGTCCCCCCAATCCCACTCCAGATTTCTGCCCAATTGCAAAACCAATTCACACACACTAATCACCATTACTACACACACACATAGATTTCCGCCCAATTGCATAAAAATCCAATCTTTCGATTTATTGTAATGGTGGAGGCACAGTCTTGGACGACGAGAAGAGGCAGCAACCCGCGTTTCGAATCCAACAGCGACCAGGTATTGGATATTCCGGCGACCCCAACCGCCGAAATCCGCCACCAGAGCCACCCGTCTCTGATCTCCCCCACCGTGCTCACCGCCGCCATTATCGCATCTTGGTACTTCTCCAACATCGGCGTGCTCTTGCTGAACAAGTACCTCCTCAGCTTCTACGGGTACAGGTACCCAATCTTCCTCACAATGCTCCACATGCTATCCTGCGCCGCCTACAGCCTCTTCGCCATTAAATGGCTCGAGGTGGTCCCCTACCAGCAGATACACAGCCGCCGCCAGTTTTTCAAGATCCTTGCTTTGAGCGCAATTTTCTGCTTCTCAGTTGTTTGTGGAAATACCTCACTGAGGTACCTCCCCGTTTCTTTCAACCAAGCGATCGGCGCCACCACCCCGTTCTTCACCGCCATCTTCGCCTTCGTGATTACGTGTAAGAAGGAATCCGCCGAGGTTTATTTAGCGCTCGTCCCCGTTGTTTTAGGCATTGTTCTTGCTAGTAACAGTGAACCCTTATTCCATCTTTTTGGATTCTTGGTCTGCGTCGGATCGACGGCCGGGAGGGCGTTGAAATCGGTGGTGCAGGGGCTTTTGTTAACCTCCGAATCGGAGAAGTTGCACTCGATGAATCTGTTGCTGTACATGGCTCCATTGGCAGCCATGATTTTGCTGCCGTTTACTTTGTACATCGAAGGGAATGTGTTGGCTTTGACCGTCGAAAAAAGCAGGGGAGATGGGTTCATCGTGTTTCTATTGATCGGAAACGCGACGATCGCTTATTTGGTTAACTTGACGAATTTCTTGGTCACGAAGCACACGAGCGCTCTGACATTGCAAGTGTTGGGCAACGCCAAGGCGGCTGTGGCCGCCGTCGTGTCGGTGTTGATATTTAGGAATCCGGTTACGGTTATGGGTATGATGGGATTTGCGGTTACTGTAACGGGAGTTGTTCTTTACAGCGAAGCGAAGAAGAGGTCTAAAGGCATACCTCATTGATAATAATAATAATAACAATTCTTGATTTTCGACCGATGGAGGTTCGTTCATCTGATTTTTGAATGAATTTATTTTTGGGATTTCGACGTTTCTATTGTATAGGAAGATGGGGTTGAGCGAAAAAGAATTCTGAGTTTTTTTTTTGGCTTTACGTTTCCGGGAACTGTCATTTTTTGTATGTTCTTTGAACATAATTGGGAAATATTTTACGACTCGATTCTTTTGATATTGTTGCTTCGGTTTGTACAATTGTCCTTCACACTACTTTCAATGAACATTTTTTTCTATTGCATGCAATTACGACTCGATTCTCCTCTTCTTGGCTTGTATGTGCGGCGGAGATGGAAATTTTGTTTTCATGGGATCAAATATAAACTTGGAAGTTCTCTACTATTCGAAATTTAACAAATCATTATAAAAGATACTACTACCCCGTTTCAAATTAACTGTCGTTTTGGAACATTTCTCCTGATGCATATTATCTGTCACTTTAGAATACAATGTTGCGTTAATTACTCGTAAATTCTATTAAACGTTAATTCTTACAAGTTGTTTTAGAAATGGTGGTGGGTAATAAGTTGTTGCATAAATTTGTCACATGATCCATCACTCTCTTATCTCGTGTGTTGCAGCTGGTTTTCCCCATGTTATCTCTTGTGATGGAATTGTTGAAAATTAATGAAAGAACCAGGCTTTGGGAGTTGAACTGATCCACATGAATCTTGGGAAAATATTTATTGGGTATACGAGATCCTGCACCTTGTGTAATACACCACGTGGTTTTAAACCGTAGATCCATATATATACAATCCACTAAGCATACATATATATGGGTGTGTGTATTATTATGTGTAGATCTACGGTGTAAAACTGCATGGTGTATTTCACTAGGCGTAGGATCTACATAACCTTCTGCACACATGAAACTAATAAAACATGTATTTTAAATTATTTTTTTAAGTTATTTACTATAGATTTCAAAATCCACAAAAAGTGAATTATGTATATTTATTTTTTGAAATTATTTTCTCAAATTCAAAATCAAGATCATGGTATGTGTTTACTTAAGTTAAACAATCATAGTCCATAAACTCTATTTATGTAGCAACGATTGGTGAAGTTCATGAACGATCACCTAGAGGGCTTACCTATACTTGGTGAAATACACCATATGATTTTAAACCGTAGATCTACATAAATAACTACCTAGTAAGCATACATAAATATGAGTGTGTTATTATATGTAGATCAATGATGTAAAACTTCATAGCGTATTTCACCAGGTGTACGTTCTACAAAATCCATCTAGACATCGATATTGTTAAACATGTAAACCCCATTTAATAGGTTCAATTAGCCTTGATATATTATAATCATGTCAACATTTCATTTTATAGGGTTGACTGCAAAATAATCAAATAATTCGTTTCTTAAGGGATTAAGATAACTAAGATTAAACACATAACTATATATCTCTCTCTCTCTCTCTCTCTCTCTCTCTCTCTCTCTCTCTCATTCATAAAAAGAAGATAGTCATTGGTTCCTCAATTCCACTCCAGGTGACTCGGACCCATGATCAAATAGGTTCGAGGTTCTTACCAATAAATTACGTTGTCAATCACATAGGTCTCATTTGGGAATGTTGATGTCATTGATGGTGAAATTTAGTATGATTACATGCATGATAATGTAATATATATGTAACTATCTTATGTTTGAGACTTGTAATTATACAATCATTGTATTGCATAATATTTTTCATTGGAGTTGTAATAATAGGAATTGAGGTTGAAATCAATGTATGAATAACACTTCAATAAATTTCAGACATGCTTTTAATAACAAGTTTCAAACCTAATCCCTAAATATAATTTCTTTTTATAGTAATTCCAAATATTTGATTCACCTTGATTATATTTTTTTCAAGTCCTAACCTAATATTTTCAAATGAGAACAATTATTTTTTTTAAGAAAATAAATATTATTACGCACGCCGAACCAAGAGGCATCACAAAACCCTCAATACAAGATGATCTAAATTTAGTAGCAAGAATACACGCTAAATTCAAAAATTCATTTTATAGTCATATGTTAATGTAATATAAGATATATAATAATATTGATATTATAACTGTAGTTTTTTGAAAAATAATACGAATGTTCGGAAATATATTCGTACATAAATTGACTAAAAAATCGAATTCTAATACCCGTTCCCAAAAAAAATCGAAACAATAGGAAATTCAAACTTTCTGAATTCGGAAATGTCTTTTTTCACCCAAATTCGAAAATCTCTATGAGATTCGTGACGCTCCTTCAGACACGATTCGAGTCAGAATCAATTGAATTCGAATTTCCACCGTAATAAGAAGACACTCATAAATCATAATGGCTATAATAATATGAATCTATGATTCTAAACAAGCGCAACATCATTTCCTTGGAAATCATCACCATTTCAATGGCCTCTTATTTATTATTATTATTTTTTTTTTTTATATACGCCATGATGCATTTCATATTTGGTAACTTTTATATAGAGCAAACATTTGTTGTCATTGGTTAATGAATATGGTTTAGGTTGAAAGTGTCAGCAACTCAATTAATTCCTTTATAACAAAGATACTTTACAAATGAGTCCATCAATGAGTGCTTATTCATAAAAGGGTTCTGATAAAAAAAAATTTACACAAAAATCCATATATGATCCAGAGGTTTGTAAAAGACTAAAATAGCCCATCACATTTTAATATGCTCCAATTTCATCATTTGATTTAATCTAACCTCAATTTGACCCACAAATTATTGAATTTTAACCCAAAACACAATTTTATGGACAATTTCGTTCATGGTCGCCGTTGATCTTTTTTTTTTTTTTTTTTTTTTTTTTCCTTCCTGACTTTTCCGCCGGTTTCCGGCGTTGACTTTTTCGATTTTTTTTGTTTTTATCTTTTTATCTTCCTGATTTTTTTGTCCCCGGTCACCGGCGTTGACTTTTTCGATTTTTTTTCTTTCTATAACATCTTCTTCTCCCCTCCCCCCATTTTAAACTACATTGTTGTTGTAGTTGACGATAATATTAACTATATTACTGTTAAATACAGTAATATTAACTATAACACAACAAATGTCATTATTTTGTAGCAGAGTAATTTTAATATGTTGACCGTTTAATAAATGTAAACATAATAAAAAACCAAAAGAATTAATATTACTGTGGTTGATAGTAATACTACTGTAACAACAGTAATATTACCATCAACCACGGTAATATTATTGTGTTTACAGTAATATTACAGTATTAGACAGTAATATTATTACGTTACTCCGCCAACAACTCAAACAAAACAAAAACCCAAAAAATAATAATATTAATGTGATTGACAATAATATTATTGTGTTTACAGTTACTTTACTGTCAACGACAGTAATATAATTACGTTGACTTGTCAACAAATCAAACAAGATTTAAAAAAAAAACCCCAAAAAAATAATAATATTGTCTTTGGCTCTAATTGTACTCTCAACGACAGTACAATTACATAAATGTATTGTCAACGACAGTGCAATTACGTTAATGTACTGTCAACGACAGTATAATTACGTTAATGTACTATCAGTGACAGTATAACTACGGTTAATGACAGTACAATTACGGTCAACGCTTAGCGATGGTGTAAAAAAATGAATAAAACATTTATGAGGAAAAAAAAAATCAACGCCGGAAAAAGAAGAAGTCAAAATTGAATTTTTGTGGTTAAAATTGATTAACTTGGGGTTGCAATTAAGAATTTGGTGTAAAGGGTTGGGGGTAATTTTGTCATATGCATTATTTTTATTTATTTATTTATAATAAATATTAAATGAATGTGCTTATTGGCGAAAGAGATATAACCCCTAAACATAGAATAATAAAGATGGTTGATCAGGGACTTATGCACAAAAAAAACCCCTCGAAGAAAGCCATCCAAGATTAGGTCGTCTATCTGCATATGCATGTGTCTACTTTTTATTTCCTTTCATTAATATTATTCAACGACAAATGGTGGTTGGGACTTCCTTTTATACGTTGCTACATATTTATGGTGGAGTTTTCATGTATAAGTCTCCAATCAACTATTTTTATTATATTAGATTCAACGGTTATATCTCCTTTGTCAATAAGTTCGTCCTTATGTATTATATATAAAGGCAAAATTAATGTATATGATAAAATTACCCCCAACTTTTTAAATATAATTTTTAATTGTAACACCAATTTCATCAATTTTGACCAATTGTAACTTTTATTTTTATTTTTGCTGTCGGTTTCCTGAATTGATTTTTTTCTTCCAATCTGCTTTTTTCATCGTCGGTCTTTGGCGTTAATTTTTTTTGAAATTGTTTTCCTGTTTTTTACGCCACTGCTTTCCGGAGTTGACTTTTTTTTTTACGTCTGCCGTTGAACGTTGACCGTAATTGTACTGTCAACTACCAGTAATTATACTGTCAACGACAATACAATTACATAACTGTACTGTTATTTTAAGTACAATTACTGTAAACACAATAATAATACTGTCAACAACATCAATATTATTATTTTTTTGGTTTTTTATTTTGAATGATTTGTTGATCACTCAGCATAATAATATAACTGTCATTGACAATAAAATTACTTTAAACACAGTAATATTACTGTCAACCACATCAATATATTTTTTTGGCTTTTTTATGTTATTTGATTTGTTAACCGATTTACGTAATAATATTACTGTATACTATTGTAATATTACTGTAAACATAATAATATTATTGTGGTTGATAGTAATATTACTGTTGTTATAGTAATGTTACTGTGGTTGACAGTAATATTACTGTTTACCACATTCATATTAATTCTTTTGACTTTTTATTATGTTTGCCTATGTTGAACGGTCAATATATTAATATTAATGTATTACACAATAGTTGTGATTTTTTATGTGTCAATATCACTGTGTTAGAGAGTAATATAGCAATATTACCGTGTTCGACAGTAATATGGTTAATATTAATGTCCCACAGTAAATTTGCTGTTTAAACATGACAAAAAATATTTAGGAAAAAAAATTTCAAAAAAAAAAAGAAAAAGTCAACGCTGACCGCCAAGTCAGCGGTGGCGTAAAAAAGAAAAAGAAAAAAAAAATTAACGCTGGAAACCGACGGAAAAAAAAAGTCAATGACAAGCTAACCGTCAGTCAACGACGGCGACGATCGAAATTATAGTCAAAATTGGGCTAGAGCCAAAATTGAATAATTGATGAAATTTGGGGTCA